TGAGTGCTTCCTGATAGCTGTGCAGTGAGCACCGACTCAGGGACTCCAGGGAGAACGCGGTGAGCTGCTGTTTCCCGGGGTCACAGATCCCCACTCCAGCCGTTAGGAACACAGGGGGAAAGAACCGGAACCCCACGTTTAAGTCCTCGCACTCCGGGATCCCCACCAAGGGCATCCAGCCGCAAGTGGAGTGCAGGGAAGCTATGGATTGTGAGCGCGCAGCGCGGCCGGGGTGCATCGTCCCTGCGACCGCGCCTGCAAGATCGCCCAGAAGCCACGGTCAACCGATCCCACGAGGGATAGCCTCGCGCACCACGCCTGTCTGGCTCGTTTGGCTTGTCCCTCTGCGATGGATAGAGCAGCACAGGTGTGAAGGTCATAGTTCTCAGCCTTTTGAGACCACATTTTTACAGCTCCCAGAATCAAAAAAAAAGGGGGGGAAGCCCCTCCCCTTCACATATCTAGATTACAGTGGTTTTGTTTCAGCTATTTCGAGGGTAAGGACAAAAAAAAAAAAGTTTCTACATAAGAATGTCGCGGCACACACTGTCCCGGGAAGTGTTTGGGAAGTGTTTCTTCTTCTTCGGGGCACTTTAGAAACCCCCCTGTCCTGCTTTCTGCATGGTCAAGGAGCAGAATAAAGAAAGCAAAGACTTTTATTTTATACATCACTTGATCTTTGCTTGGGAAACTCTATTAATTGAATGGGCTTGCCTTTTTTGCCAGGTCCCCTTTATCATTATTTATGGGCTTTAAATTGTTTAAAGTTCCCTTGACGTTCAATTTACAAGTTTGGGGACTTTTTTGTTCTGCCTTTTGTCCTGGAGAAAGACATCGTGTTGGAAGCGCTTTGAAAAGCCAAACATGAGAGGTTGGCGGTGAAAGGGAAGCGGGCAAGATCCCTTTTAATTCCGTCCTGTTGGTGAATGGCTCTTTTACATAATTGCGGGAGCCATTTCAAAGCCAGCCAAGGGCTGACTTCACTTAGAACCACATGGAGTCTATTTTGGGCTTTCAGATTTAAAAAAAAAAAAAAAAAGCTGAATAAAATAGTTTAAAAAGATGAGGTTTCAATGCTTTCTGCTACTTGCAAATTGGTGTGTCTGATGGGGAATTTTACACAAGCACCTCTTTGTAAAGTACGTCTTGGGCTGGGGAAGCTCGATACTGGGTTAGCTGGGTGTGAATCCCAATTGCCCCTCCATAAATAAAACCCATCCCAAGCTATTTCCCAACTATGGCCAGGAGCAAGTACTGCGGCAGTGTCGGAACCGTCAGACTACTCAAAATCCCTCTAAATAAAAACAACACGGTTGCCCGAGAAACCAGCCTGAAGCGTGGGTCTGGGCTGCTGGCTGGACAGCCCCTCCTGTGCGAGCTCAGCCTGCAGGTTTCCCCACGCGGCACCCACGGAGACTGGAGCGCCCCCGTTGCTCCCTCGAAGCCGCACGGCGCTTCCACCTCCAGGTAATATGAATATTCATTTACTTGTGCGGTTCGTATTGTGTGCTTGGCTTTTACACACCTGTGCGCAAAGGCTGAACCGGACAGCCCACAAACGTGGAGCCAACTTAATTACCGTCACTTTTATTGAACGTCTAAGCCACTTTGTAAGTGGCTTAATACAATCCTGACACTCGCTTGGCAGCGGTAAGTACCTCTGGGGCTGGGCTATCTTCATCTGTGAGGGATGCTTCCAGAGAAAAAGTTCGCCAAAGTTAACTGGAGTTGGGGAACCCGGCTCTCCCGGCGCGCACGGCCTTTTTCTAATTGGAGGGGGGCGGGGCTCTCCGAGCCTAGTTGCTAAGATCTGAGTCCGGTGGTTTTCCCGCGCAGCTTGGGCCGAGTCCAGTCTCGCAGGACTCTGCTGTTGAAGGCAGTTCCGAGCTAAGCAGGTAGGAATTCGAAGAACAGATGCGTGTACCTGTCGCTCCCCATGCATAAATCCAAAGGCTTTTGTTATCCGCAGCCCCCAGACTCGCAGCGCTTTGCACGTAGCTGAGGTGTCCTGGAAAGGATCTTGTTAATCACGCCAAAACACAAGCATCCTTTTATGATGCGAACAGTCATTTTCTAAGCAGTTAGGCATTAGATGAGAAAAATATTACTGCATAGCATTCGAGAAAAGCGTACTAGTAAATAAAATTCGTATTGATGAAAAATTATTTGAACTCACTAATAAAAGATTAGTATTATAACCCCCGCAGTCAATACTTTTCGTGGCAATTTATGGACACAAATAATATGTCATCAAATTACTTCAAGTGTGGCTATAATTCAAGGGACCTCAATCTTATTGCTGAACTTTAAACGTAGCATCACCGAAATAGTCAAAATAGTCAAAGGAATTTCTGGCTCTGGGTGTGATCAAGCGACCAGAAGTCTCTACAACAATATTTTTTTTTAACAGTGAAAGAGCAAAATGGAAGGTATTTGGGCCAGGTAAATGAGTAGCTGCTTACACAGGCGTCCCAAGACAAGCGCGAAGGTCCTCGGCTGTAGCTACGTAAATCAAGGAAGCTGTTATTCTGGAAGTTGCGGGAGGGGGGGGGGGGCTGGGAGACGGGGACCGACGACTAACAACAAGGTAATGGCACCAGGTCTGTCACTGTAACTATCTCATAATAAGAGGGAGTATTTATTATGCTCATGAAGAAACCAGCCTTTTGCCTTGGGCTCCCATTATCTTCTTTTGTGGGCAAACGGGGGCTAGAGCTTGGAAGACTCCACAGACACCTCCTTCCCGTGTATCCCAAAGGGAATTAGTTTCCCCTCACACTGCCTAAGCCATCTCGAGGTCTGGGCGTGAAGCGAGGGGACGCAATACAGGCAGTGCCCTAATGAATTCCTTTCAAACCGCCTGCTGCCGAAACCATCTATTACTGCGGCCCGGGAGTGGGGAAAGGCGTTTGAGATGTCTTTGTCCGGGTGATGGAGGGGAGGGGAGGGGACACTGGTGGGGGAGGAGGGCCGCTGGCAGCCCTCGACCAGAGAGTTTTCTCCTGGCCGAGGGATGCGAAGGACGCACCCTCGCCTCTTACCTCTCTGGGTGGGCAGTTGCTCTCTGGCCAGACTCTTGGCCGGAGGAGATGGTCTAGGATTGAGATCTCCACCGGGGGCCTTGGGGTTAGAGCGAGAGCGAGAGGGAGAGAGAGGGGAAGAGACAGAAAGAAGAGCTTCAAAGAATCGGGTCGATAAATTCATAAAGATCGATTTATCTTTATCTCCCAATTAAATGTGCTTGTGATACATAACACACGTCTAACGTGGGCCCCAACTCCCCAACCACCAGCTCCTTGGGGTGAACTGATTTTTAATGGCCTATGTAACAATGCCCTCCTTTGCTCCCTGGCCGTGTGTTGTCAGCTGTTCCGGAAGGACGTCTAGACCAGGGAATTTGAAGCCGAGGCCCAGGAACCCGAGGAAGCCCTGCGCGCTCTGGCGCGCTTGGCAGGATCTGCCCTTGCCAGGAAACGATCTCATTTTAAAGGGAACACAAGAGCTGAAAGTTTGTTTCAACATAGGAAAAGAGGACCAGAAATGTCTACTTTCCTTTCGCCGCAATCCCGCCAATCTCCTGACTCCCAAATTCCAGTGTGTTTACCGTCGTCGAGAACCGGGGCGGGGAAAGGTCTTGAGGGGCTCGGCTCCATCCAGCAGCCGGCAAAGGGGAACCGCGCGCCCTGAAGTCCTCGAGCTGCGCAGAGCCAGGGTGAGAGCTCCCTTCGTTCCCAACGTGCTTAATTAGCGCCTATTTACAAAACGCAGCTTTTATTTGAGCAAACATCATAAAGCTTTCATCAGGATAATCTCACGTTATACAATCCAGAGGCGTCGCAAACTCCCCCCTATTCCTCCCTGAAGATGGAGCAGATGAAGGACTCGCTTTATTATCATAATTATCGTGGCTGTTATTTTGGTGCGCGCTGGCAAAGTGGGTAAATAGGTGCGATGATTAAGAATGTCATGAAAAATGAGCAGGGATCGCTCACAGAGGGCCCAGCTAGGAATAGGGGGACCACCAGCCTGCCCGCCCCTCCACCAGCGAGCCGCGAGCAACTCCGTGTAGTGAGCAGGAGCTGACAGGCCCGGGAGGAGCATCCGGGAGCAGACCTGCAGAGGCAAAACCCTAACCGCAACTCAGGAGACCTTTCCCGGACCCTTGGCAAAACCAGAGGACCCCTAGCTACTGTGAGCACCACACAGGGTTCTGCTATAGAGACCATAAAGGAAATAAAACACTCCTGGCCCATTCGGGTGGGTGCCAGCTCCAAGCCGCCTCTGAGACGGCCTCCACCGGGATGCCGGGGACTCTAGGGTCTGAGCCTAGGATGTAGCAAGGGTCCCTCTCAAGTTTGCTCCGTGCGGTGCAGGCGCACAGTCTCGGGCTCCCAGGCCTGCACGCTCCAACGGTGGCGCCCGCAGCCCGCCTGCGGCCAGCCTGGGTAAAGGGGGCGGAGCCCTAATTTCGCCCTGCCTCTCCCGGCACAGCCAATGGGAGATGGCGCTCAACACCACGTGACACGAGCTCCGCTGGGCAGCTGGCAAAATGTGAATGAGAAAGAGGAGCGCGATTTAAAGGTGCTGGCGGCGCCCGCCAGAGACAAGTGCGCCGGCTTCGCGCGCTCCCCGGCGGCCCTGGGAGACGACGGACTGCGGGACGGACAGACGGACGACCGCACCGCTGATAGCCCGGCCGAGAGCTGCAGACGAGACGCGCGCGCCTTCCGAAGGGCTAGCAGCGGGGAGCGGCTCCAGCAAACGCGAGGCCCCCGGCGCCCTCTCCATCCCGGGCGCACGGCCTCACCGCGCTCGGCGGCTACACCCAGGCCGGCCGGGTATGCAGCGGGCCCCGCACTGAGGGGCGGCGGCATCTACGCTCCGTGTGCCGCTCGGCCTCTGCCCGGCGCTCCCGGCGGTGCTCCCGGCATCCGGAGGGCTTCCAGGCGGCGGTGCGGCTCGGGGACTTTTCGTCTCTCCCTGGCCTCTCCCGAACGCGTCTATGAGCGCAGCGTTCCCGCCGTCGCTGATGATGATGCAGCGCCCGCTGGGGAGTAGTACCGCCTTTAGCATAGACTCGCTGATCGGCAGCCCGCCGCAGCCCAGCCCCGGCCATTTCGTCTACACCGGCTACCCCATGTTCATGCCCTACCGGCCGGTGGTGCTGCCACCGCCTCCGCCGCCGCCTCCCGCGCTGCCCCAGGCGGCGCTGCAGCCGGCGCTGCCACCCGCGCACCCTCACCACCAGATCCCCAGCCTGCCCACCGGCTTCTGCTCCAGCCTGGCGCAGGGCATGGCACTCACCTCCACGCTCATGGCCACGTTGCCCGGTGGCTTTTCTGCGTCGCCCCAGCACCAAGAGGCGGCGGCCGCCCGCAAGTTCGCTCCGCAGCCAGTGCCTGGAGGCGGCAACTTCGACAAAGCCGAGGCGCTTCAAGCCGATGCGGAGGACGGCAAAGCCTTTCTGGCCAAGGAGGGCTCGCTGCTCGCTTTCTCTGCGGCCGAAGCGGTGCAGGCGTCGCTCGGTGAGTCGGCGGCGCGCGCAGCCGAAACGCGGGGACGGGAGGGAGTAGGGGCGGGCCAGCTCCGGGTTCCCGCCGGGACCCCGGGGACGAGGCCGCGCCCCCGCCCGACCTCCGCAGGAATAGCTGGAGGAGCCGCGGGGATGTCCAGCGGAGCTTCCCAAGGGGCGTTTAAACCCAGGCAACAAGCAGGGTCTCGGGAAAGGGAGGCTTTTAGTGCTCTCCTGGCAGCTGCTCCGGGCCACACATCTGGTGGTGCGTTTGGCCCGATCTAAACTGTCCCCCCAACACACGCTGCGATGACTGAGGGTCCTTGATATGTTAGAACCTTAAGCAGAGGCCTGTTAGGCTGTGTTTTTTTCAGTTGCGCATGTACCCAAGAGTCCAGACTTAAATGTCTTCACTGGGTTCTCTGCTGCCCAAGAGAACCAGATTTCTACAAGGCTGTGTGTGTGTGTGTGTGTGTGTGTGTGTGTGTGTGTGTGTGTGTGTGTGTGTGTGTGTGTGTGTGTGTGTGTGTGTACGCGCTCGCGCACTCGTATGGGCTGTAGAGTAGGGAACTTCTAAGGTGACACAAACGATCTGTCTCAAGAAAGCTGCTGTCTGGTGTCTGCGCGACTCTCCTACCCGACTCTTGCTGCGGTGAAATTGAGACTCGCTAAATTTCAGTGTTCAGATGGTGACAGGAAGGATCATGAACTCTCCCTTGGTCTTCAAACAGCCTGGACCCCGGGGAAACAAAGGGAATGTTCTCTTGGGCCTCAGGTCCAAGCTGCATCCTTCTACATAGGCTGTCAGAGGCTGGGAGGGTGCGCGGGAGGCATGTCGACCCCTTGAGTGATGGTTCTGGGCAAAGGGCCGTCGCCTTTGCTGTCTCCTCCTCTCCTTTGAGCTTTTCTCACGCTCCCCCCACTCCTCAAAGCCCAGGAAATCACAATGTGTTAATGTTGTAGAAAGACAATCTGCTGGGGGTGGGGGTGGGGGTGGGGGGTGAGGTGCCCAAGTGGGAAAGGGTAGGGAAGGCAGTGTTGGAAATGTAATAAAACGCCGTTTGGTTTTGCTTTCAGTCGGGGCTGTCCGAGGGCAAGGGAAAGACGAGTCAAAGGTGGAAGATGACTCGAAGGGCAAGGAGGAGAGCTTCTCTCTGGAGAGCGATGTGGACTACAGCTCAGATGACAATTTGCCTGGCCAGACAGCTCATAAGGAGGAAGATTCCGGCCACGCACTGGAGGAGACCCCGCAGAGCGGCGGTGCAGCAGGCAGTACCACATCCACCGGCAAGAACCGGCGGCGGCGGACTGCCTTCACCAGTGAACAGCTGCTGGAGCTGGAGAAAGAATTCCACTGCAAAAAGTACCTCTCCCTGACCGAGCGCTCCCAGATCGCCCACGCCCTCAAACTCAGCGAGGTGCAGGTAAAAATCTGGTTCCAGAACCGCCGGGCCAAGTGGAAACGCGTCAAGGCAGGCAACGCCAATTCCAAGACCGGGGAGCCCTCCCGGAACCCCAAGATCGTCGTCCCCATCCCTGTCCACGTCAGCAGATTCGCTATTCGAAGTCAGCACCAGCAGCTGGAGCAGGCCCGACCCTGAGGGCCTAGCCAGGGTGGACACCGTCGTGGAGAGGCCCTAACACCCAAGGGAACCGGTGGCAGACTCCACTGTTCAAAGCAGAACTCAAAGGCACCTCCCAGATGTGGACATCCCAAGCAAATTGAGAATATATTCACTAGATGGGCTTAATGGGGGCTACAGCCACACCAGAAGATACACTAAATATTTATTATACGACCCTACTTTGTACATAGATATCTATATAGACTGGATCTCAGCTGCAGTATTTTGAAAGGGATAGGACCAAACGTCTCCACTCACACATTCCAGATGAAACAAAACCACCACTGTACCCTGTCGCCCTCAGCGACCACCTTCCCATACTTTCCCAAAGGTAAACCAGAGACACAAGAGCAAACGCTGGGGTTTAAGCTGATTTTTTTGTTTGTTTTGTTTTTATTCTGGCTTTTTGAGTTGAGCGCAGAGCAGACTTTTTGGGCACTCCAGGAATCTGCTCTGTTCATTTGCCCTTGCCTGGCTTTCTTTCCTATCTGAGCCATGTCGGAAGCACGTCTCCGTTGTGTTTAATTTATTTCAATGTCGCTTATTTTCATATAAGTTATGACATTTAAACAATCTCAGTCTTGTGAATAATAAAAAAAAAGCAAGAAAAAAAACATAACCTCGATCCTTGGGGCCTCATAAGAGTGCCCACCACCTGGGCACTTCGAGGGCACTGCCAGGGTGTGGTCAGCTAAGTGGCCTGGGACCAGGACGGAGGCTGACTGGCCATAAGCCACGTGGCACTTTAACAGGCTTCTAATCGGAGAGTAGAGCTATGATTTTAAGAAAGCCTAGTTTTCATTTTAGGAATCTGGCATGTCGCCTTTTTGCATGGCCTTATCCATAGCCTGGGGACTGACAAACTTTGGCCAGAGAAGGAGGGAAAGCAAGCGCGGGTGGTGGTGGATTCGCACAAACTCAGGGGCTCCAAACCGGATGCAGCCAGGGAGGAGAAACGCCTTTCCTTACAAGAAACTCCGACCCTAAAAGCAGCGGTGCTTGCTCGCTCTCAGGGCCTCGGGTCCATAAATCAGTCTGCAGGCGTTATCTTCCGACAGGAGCCGGAACCCAGCAAGCCCTGTAAGGCTTCCCGGCAGCTCTAGGCTTGGAGGCGGGCTGTGAACTCTAAGGCCCTACTCTTCCCCTCCGGGCGGGGTCGGAGGGGGGCGTGCCCTGACCACTGCCCCACCCCAAGGGCGCTGGGGCCCGCAGCCCCTCAAACGGAGAAGCGGGGGAGGGACCTTGGTGGGATGGTGCGCAGAAACCTAGGAACGGGGCGTCTTTCTGCCTTGGAGGGGCGGCCTGTAAAGCTCAGGAGGGGCGTGCCCTGCACTACACCACCTCCTTTAACTTTGGTACGGTGACCAAAGCCAGGTCTGCCAAGGCCTGGCGCTGCCAAGACTGCGGTGCACAGGACCCGGGTATCCCAGAAGTGTGGAGCGTGCTAGTGACGGTGATCACGGTGCCCAAGTCCTTCTGGCTGTTAAACCTGCAGCCCAAAGAGAAGCTGGTGGCTCGACCACATCAGCTTTCCAAATGGAAGGATGGGGGAACCTCCAGCAAAGCACACGCTGTGCTTCCCAGTCCAAGAAGGGGGAGTCCTGGGTCAATACTGACTTAATTTATTCCACTTGCTCCAGTCCGTCACCTCTCAGCCGCACAGAGGTCGGGGGCACAGGGGCCCTTGCCCAAACTCTAGGCGCAGGGTGGAGGGCCAAAGTCACAGAGTCACGGTTTCTTTCCGAATAGTTCCAGTATTGGAAAATGCCTCGAGCTTGAGTTTTTAGGACAATGTAATGGAGTGGCCTTTCCTCCTAGGTTAGGTCAGGCTTTGCAAATCTCTGGAGTTCTCTGTTGTCCTCCACCCGGTACCAGGAAGAGCAAAAGGAAAAGGGACTGTGTAAGGTCCAGCGGCTTTCCCGGATCCGCACTCTCCTTCCTCCGCCAACGCCCCCCCCCCTCCCGCGCGCGCGCCGGTGTACACAGAGCCCTGGTCACCAGTTGGCTCTATGGGCTTCAGCCAGATTCCCAACTGGCTACGGTATCAATGCTGCGGGTGCCGAAAATTCTAGGTCCTCAGGGATGCCAAGTCCTCTTTTATACACACACCACACCTGGACCATGGAATTCGTGTGTGTCCACTGAGTGGCTGTGACTGAAAACATAGAGTCCAGTACCAGGACTAAGAGAGATGCGAGGTGAGATGCGGTCTCCCACAGTAGCTCCAGTGGCACTGCGGGTCCGGGAGAGGCCCTGAGTACCCAGAGTTCAATGCTTCCCCAGATCCCAGGACGTCTCCTCACTTGCCCTTCCAACATACTAGATGTAAATAGCCCCTACCAGCTCTCTCTCAAAGCCTCGTGTCAGGGGTTGGGGTGGAAGCTTTGACCCACACAAACCCCTGGAGAAAGCAAAACTCCCCAGAAATAGGCAGCCGCCTTCGGGGAACCCCACTATGAGACCCAAGCTGACTAGCACTGTCTCACCCTTTAGAAGCACAGGCAGGGTCCTGAGATGCTGCGTGCCCCCTTGCCCTCTTAGGGGGCTGTCCCTTTCCTCCCCAACCCCTGGGGGCCCTGGCACCCCAGAGCTCAGAGCCCCAGGCCCTGGAGACAGGCCGAGGGCAGGAAGATAAACAGGCAGCCCTTGATGGCCGCTGTCATCATGGCCGCCATCATGGCTTTCATTTGGCTGCCTAATGAGTCACATCACAGGCAGAGAGAAAAATTGTCAATCGCCTGGGCCCTAATGAATTTTTTTGCAAATTGTAATCAAGCCAGGCCGTCTCAGCTGGCTGATTAATGAGACCCACGAGGCTCGGCCAGCACCTCAGCTTTTTATTCCATCCCGTCCTCCCCGCACTAAATTAACAGCAACTTGTCTGAGCTTCAAATTAACTCCCAATGATTAATTCTGATGGGGGGGCCTGAAGAATAGCTTGTTCTAATAGGCTCTGGCCTGAGATGCTGTTGAAAATTAATACACTTCCCCTTTGGCTGCCGGCTTTAATCCAAGGTTGGGTTTTGACATCACTCTATTTGTTGTTACAATAAATTCCACTTACATCTGCAGATCAAATAATTACGACCAGGAGTGCACAGACCTGGGCCCCCAGCCCGTAGTGCAGTGGGACACCTGGGGGCTGACCTCAGATCCACATCCAAGAGGGGGAGGGTGTCCTGGGAACAGTCCCCTGATCCTGTAACCCTTTTATTCTCATTTCCCAGAATCCTTCCATATCAGGGAGCTGAGTATCCCCAACCCTCTGGAAAACTGAGGTTGCTTTGAAAGCCTACATCCAGATCTTTGCCCAAGCCGCCTGCTCCTCCAGCCCCTTGAAGATGGGGATCCCTTCCAAGCAAAGCAGCTTGTTGGGGGTGGAAGGGGGAGGGTTCTCCAGCCCCAACCTGAAGTTGGAATTTTCAAGACTTAGTAGAAGTCTGTCACCCAAGCAGCTAGTCTTTCAGTCTTTAGCCCCCCGGGATGGTTCCTTCAGGGCGCCCTTTCAGCTAAATGGGCAGAGTGCAAGGCCTTCAGGCCTTCTCCACCTGGGACCACCGGCCACTCATGACCAGTCGAGCTCTGGTTCTGTGTCCTGCCTTCCAAGATGCCCTTTCTCTGGGGGGCAGCACTTGCTCCCTCTCTTTTCTGTTTGTTGGAGCTTAATTGGCTTCATCATTTCAGCTGTGTCTGGTGAGCCTTGTACGGAGCCTCCAAGGCTGCTCCCAAGGTATGACAAGGCAAACACAGGGTGTGCTGACGGTTGGGAGGAACTTTCTGGCTCATCATCTAGTTCTCCCCCTTTAGGACTTTCCAAGCTCCTCAAATCTGTCTGGAGGGCCTGTGTAGCTTCTAGCAGCCCTGGAAGCTGACTTGGCTTCTGCACTTTCTCCTTCTGGACACCAGCTATGACATGGCCAAGTGACCTGCTGGACCCAGCTGTGTGGCCTTTGGGGAAAGATATCTATGCACAAGCGCCTCTCCCTATCCTTAGAGACCGTGGTCCTCTGGCCAGGTGTGCACAGCTGGGGCAGGTGGCCTCCTCTCACCTTGGAGCTTAGGCCAGCACAGCCTTCTTCTCCACCAGCTCACTAGGGTCTAACCTAGCCAACCTTTGAGATCCAGGAGGGAGTCACAGCCAGGGTCGAGAGTGATGGCCTGGACAGAGAGAAGTGGCATTAATCTTCATTTTGGGCCCTTATGGTGTGTAAACAGGAGAAATATGATCTTGGTAACTGAACATGAATGCAAATCACACCGTCAGAGTAATAAAGCACCTGAAACCCCGACGCACAAAAGCAACACCATATGTATGAAGACAACCTGCATAAATTATAAATTACATCATAAAAATTGATTGCCTATTTGAACAGTTTAGAAGTGGGAGACCTAAGCTGACTTCTGCCCTCTGTGGCTTTGGAGAAAGGTCAGGCTGTGCCTTTTCCCTCTGCAGGCCCCCAACCTGAAGACCTGGAGGCAGGTTGTGGTGTTCAGTAGATGAGACAGCAAGCGTGAGGTGTTGGAAGACCTGCGTCTTCTGGGTTGTGATGCCAAGGCCTCGGGGGCTGTTGACAGTCATGGCACACCAGGTCCCTGGCACTTCTGGCCAACACACAGTGCTGCAGTCCTAGAAGATGCTGAGGTTGTCTAGGCGGCTCTCTCCAGATGGAGCCAGTCTGCTATGAGCAGACATGTGAGAGCTGGCGCTTGTGCGTACGCGGGAGCAAGTGAGCGCGGTAGTATGTATATGATGTGTGATTTCCCCTTCCTGCTCATCAGCTTTCTGCACGTTCCTAGATGGACCATAGTCAAGAGTTCGATCTTGCAGTCAGGGCCCGCACGTCCCGCAGAGCTGAGCGCGCCATTATGCTCCCAGAGCTTCTCCGGACTCCACCCTGCAGTATTTCCCTTCCTCCTCCGAAGCCCTCCTTGGCTGCGCCTCTGAACTCCCCCTGATTTCTCCCCAGACACCCCCTTCCCCCGGGCCCGCTGCCCCGGCTCCACTCGGCCTGAGCTCTCTCCTACTGCGCGATGTTAGCATCACGGAGGGAGTACCTCTCTAGTTCTTAGGAGGACTCCCACAGCCACTTCGTTCACCCTCTCCAGTTTTGGCCTCTAGGTTGCTCAGTCCGTGCTCTGCGCGTCCGCGAGCCTCTCTTCCTGGGACACCGGTTGATGGCTTTTTCCCGGTTCTCTATGTTCGCTGCGGTCAGCTATCCTCTCCATCCCTGTCTCCAACCGGCCACCCCCGCGTGGCCGACCGGGAGCTGCACCCCAGGCTGACCTCGTAATATCTAGGCCACCGGACCCCACGGAGGCGGTTCCTGCTCAGTCGTCGAGCCCCCACGCCCCCCGACCCCGACCCCAACCCCGAGCGGCCTCCAGGGAGAGACCAGAGAGAGAGAGAGGTCCGGAGATTGAAGGAGGTCTTCGTGGGCCTGATCTCGAAGTTGATACCCACGTGGCCAGGGCGCAGGCAACGGCCTGGGCAGACTGTGCCCGGGAGGCATATCCCCCGCGACCCCCGCCTCGAGCCTTCATCTCTTTATTTCCCGCCACTAGATCCCTTGAGGCCTTTGTCATGCTGGCGC